GGGCCAGCCATGGAGGCGGAGCTTGGCTTGGCGGTTGTGGGTGGCAGAGGAGGCGAAGTGGACGTTTAAGCCGAACCGGGTGGAGAGGATTAGAGAGAAGTGGAGGAGTTCGTTGAGGTGGCCCTGGGCTGGGAAGGGAACTAAAACTACGGTTACTGGATGAGAGAGAAGTGGAGGAGTTGGTTGAGGTGACCCTGGGCTGGGAAGGGAACTAAAACTACGGTTACTTCGTCGGCGTTTGACATCTCACCGGCGAACAGAATAGAAGTTCTCTGAAGTTGAAGTTGTTCAGAGGATTTGAGAGAGAAAGAATATATTTATTTAAAATTATGGATTTTTTTGGTGAAATTTTATTGGATCTTTCCATAAAGATGATAAGAAAGATAAAAGTTGTGTCTATTGGATTTAATTTTATTATATTAGAAATTATTCTAAGTCCGTTCACAATATTTTAATAAAAGTTTACTTTATATCAATTAAATAAAATAGTTTATAAATTATCAACAAATTTTCTTTATAATAATAAAATAAAAATATGTATTAATAGTTCATTGAAGTATAAAAATAAGGAGTAGTTGCATTGAATAAATATGTATCTTCATTTATGATGGTAAGATTATTTAAAGAAAAATCATAAGCTCAAGCAAATGATAATTACATATATGTACACAAATTATTTCATCTGAAACAAGTTTATATAAATTCTTTAAAATGGTCGCATGAATTTCATCTCATAGAATTCATGATTTATTGTGACTAAAATGTAAATAAAGACATGGATGCTTCAACTCATTAAAATAAGTGAAAAAAACTCCACAAACAAAAAACCTTACATTCTTGTATATGTCAAAGCAGGTTTGCTCATCTTGATATAGCTTAATAGTGACAACATTAATTCAAAATTGAATGCACTCATTTTAATAAGCAAGAAAATTGATGATAGATAGTTGCAAATATACAATCTTTCTTAATCATTTTTACTATCATTCATGATTTGCCAACACCATTAAATAAAAAATCTTAAATAAGTTGAAACTAGTGTGCAATAGTTCTTTAAAAAAACAGCTTATCAGAAAAAAAATAAAGCATCCAACTTTTAAATTTTCTTACAACTTGGACAGCTCGAGAAAGGTTTTGCATTGTTCGGTAGGAATAAAAGGAAATATGACCAGGTGAGGTGAAATATCAAAATATGGGACAATAAACCAAAAAGGTGATTTAGATTATTAGTAAAATGACTGGTTATATCATTAATAAATATATATATTATATAATAGTAGATTAATTAAAAGTGGGCTCATATATAAATATTATTTAAATAATAGTGTAATTAATAATTAATCCTAAAATAAAATTGATTCACTTGCAATATATTATGATTAATTATGTAATTAAAGAAGTTTTATTTGGTAACATTCATAAAATAAAATTCAAAACAAAATTTTCAAAAATCTTTTAAAATCATTTAACAAAACAATGATTTTTTAATAAAAAAACAAACCTAAAACAAACTTTTTTCAAACAAAATAAAGTAAAAAAATAAACTTTCTAAAATAAATCCTTAATAAAGGTTTTCCAAAAGAAGAATTTTTTTAAAAGTTAAATTAACCTTTACCTATGCAGAACATCATCATCCCAATTTAACAAATCTACCAACAACTTTATTAAATCATGTAAATGCTCATCAATAATAACCTCTTCTCTTCTAAAATGTATAATCAATATTTCATATGAAAACAATTCTTCATGCATTTGATTAGAAATTTATTTTCTAACATCCTCCATAATTTTCTTGTAGAAGCCTCTATCATTACCACATACTTGATTTTATAAGTCAAGCAATTTCAGGTTAAGCCACAAGTTTGATTCATCTTCAACAAATCTCTCTGTAACATCTACTCAAAATAATTCTCCCTATCCAAAATTTTCTCTAAATTAAGAGAAAAATAACACATAATGACTCAGCTTTTCTATTGTAATAATAGATATTAAAAAACCTAACATAAGCTATCATTTATTAATCTCACTATTAGAATATTTTCCCAAAAAAATCCTTAAATGGAATATCTAGAAAACAATAAAAAAAAAATTATCCGGAAAAAAATTTTGAAAAATAATTCTAATTTTTTCCTTATTTTTTTTTCGAAATTCTTTTTTTTTTTCAAAAATAAATTTATTAAAATACTCACTTTCATTTTTTAAAAACTTCTCACCATCTCTCCTCACATATGAACTTTAATTACTTCTCACCATCTCTCCTCACATATGAACTTTAATTACCTTTTATATTAAAGCATACAACTAAATAAAATTAAGTTTAAATTACCTTTAATTACCATAAAAGCAATAAACAACACAGGCTATAAAAAAATCTATTACATATGCTCTGCCTTCATCTAAAAGCAGAACTTTTAGAAGTGAAAAAAATGTGCAGATTACCAAAAGCCAAAATCCAATTCCTAATTCCAACACAAAACCATCATACCCCACACCTCGAAAAACAGCCCTCCACATAAAATTAGAACGATCACACCATAACAATGAAATAGGAATCAGCCTCCAAATCCGTAGAGAGTTCGTCCCTGGCGCTTGAGGGCGTACACAACGTCCATGGCCGTAACAGTCTTCCGGCGGGCGTGCTCAGTATAGGTAACAGCGTCGCGTATAACGTTCTCAAGAAAGATCTTGAGCACCCCACGCGTTTCTTCGTAAATTAGGCCGCTAATGCGCTTCACGCCACCGCGGCGAGCGAGACGGCGGATCGCCGGCTTCGTGATGCCCTGAATGTTGTCGCGCAAGACTTTCCGATGACGCTTCGCTCCACCCTTGCCGAGCCCCTTGCCACCCTTTCCACGCCCAGACATAGTCACAGCTCACAAGGTCTTCTTCTTCCTTTAGCCGGAAAAAACGCGACAGTGCTAGGTCAGAATACGGAGGACAATCTTGATGGAGATGAGGCGTTGTGACGTAATGTATATATATATATATATTGCAGAGGAAGCGTAGCATTGCAGAGGAAGCGTAGCGGTAGGATTCATTTTGGGCCTGAAGCGTGCGGAAGAAGAGAGCTTTGGGGCTGATGGATTTGATATGGACGGTCCAGATGGATGTTTTACGCTGGTTGCAGATTGGTGACGTGGCTTTTTACATGAACGATCTTAACGGCTACTATTCGTCGTCAATGTTAGATTTGGATTGCCGCTAAACTTTTTTTAAATTAATAATTTTAGAAAAAATAAGAGATAATTATAGTTATCTGAAGTAAAGTTAAATCATTAAACTTAAAAATTTTACTGGAGGCAATTGAAGAGAATCTAATCGCATAGTTGAGCAATAATCAATTTGTTTTATTGATATACTGATATTCTAATTGCTATAATCATTATTTTGAAGTTCGAATTCCTTAAAATAAATATCTCTACTGTGGAACGATTGAAAAAGTTTTACGGTCCATTGGGGGTAACTTAGTTGGCACGGTGCATTTTGAAAACACCTTGATGCATCGCTGCTGCTTATTGTAATAATCAAATCAATATTTCTTATAAACGCGGTCACGGACTCGACCCTACAGCTCGCGTTTCTTCGCACGTCTACTACCTCGCTTCCCCTCTAGACCGCGTTCTTTCGCACGAGTTCTGCCCTATGTGTCTGACCCGACCCGCAACTACGCAGTTATTTAGTTTTCTGACAAAAAACTTAACCCGATTGTTTTAGGCGACTAGAGCACAAAAATGAATATGTTAAAGAATTTAGAATTAATTTATATTTCACACACTAGGGGTTCAACGCAAGTGCACATATCGTTTCAAGTAATATAGGGTTTTATTTAAAAACCCTCAGTATCGATTCCACGGGAAAGCAAGGTAAGAAATCCCTTAGGCTAAATCTAGTCAACTACTATTATGTCTTAGATCGAAATCTTGAAATAGTTCAGTTTTCCTAAATTTACTAATTTACTATAAAATTAAAGTTAATAAAATTAAATAAAAACTTAATCTAAGGAGATTGGTTAAATTTTGGAAAATTCTTCTATAATCAAAATCTCCTTTCCCTTGCGATGAGAACATAATTAGTGTATAAATCAAATGTTTAATTGTTTAAATGTAGTTTTGTGACAAATAAGAGCATACTTATTCTTTACCATCTTTCGAACGATAAAGAACATTAACTAATCTAAAACTAAGTTTTTAATTGATATGATTTTGCTGAGTAGATTCTAGCCTCTCACTTCTATATTATTCACTTTGTCTTCTCTATAAGACTAACCAGGCTTTAAGTTCTAAACTAAAGATCAAATTGGTTAAGTTTTTAGCCTGTCACTCTAGAGTTACCAATTCTACACCATCAAAACTTATCACCCTATCTATTTTCACTCCCCTTTGAACTTGGCTCCCCTCCATCTTAAGGGTTAGTGTGGTTTCACTTAGTTAAGAATTACACTGCCTTTCCAGATCGTATTGTAATTACAACAAATTTTAACATTACAACAGACCTAAATTGTAATGTAAATGAAGTTCAAGTGAAGTAGTAATACAATTTTGAAATAAAAAAATCTTCAAACAATTCTAATTCTACACAAATTAATTCTCATCACAAGGACAAAGAGTAAGGAAAACTACTCACTAAGCATGGAGAAAACACATGGATTCTTCATTGCAAATGACATTAAAAACACACAACTATACTGCAATAATTCAAAGCAAATACCAAAAAGAATTGAATTATCTTTACTGAAGATTTATGCTCTCCTTGCCCGCAAATAGCAATCCTCTACACTTCTTCTAAAGTCCCAAAAGTCTGCAACTTCCACACACACACACACCACACACACACACACACCTCTTTTAAGTGGCACGCCCCAAACTCTCCTTTTTCAACTAGTCAATGGTCACATTAAATAAATTTTTACAAGTAACTAAGAGTCACTTCAAGCACCTCTTCAGTATTCATCGAAATTTATTGCAAAAAGGCCACAACCAATTTTGGCACCTAGGCGTCAACCTTCGGGTAACTACTTGGCGCCTTTCTCATTTTGCTTCATTAGACTCCTTTTTGCTCCGTTTTTGCTCCTTTTTCATCAAAACTCTATTTCTTGTACGTGAAACCAAAACACGCAAAATACCTTTTGCTAAAATATAATATCCTTAAAAATGAGTATAAAATGTATGTATAACAGCATCTCATTTTAAGGCTTATCAATTCCTCCAAACTTAAGCGTTATTTGTTCTCAAGTAACAATACAACTTTTAAAAGTATATTGATTTTTGTTAGTGGTTCTCTTTAAGCAAAAAAATAAAATTTTGCTCTAAAAATGTTATAGTCAAATTTAGAAGAATTTCTAGTAAATTAGATGATATCTAAGGTATCACAATATTTAGTATTGAACTTAGGATTCCAGTTTTACTATTTTATTCATAAATAATTAAAAATTTTCCAAAATTTGGATTCTTAGAAAAATATTAATTTCAGAATTTATGACTTCTAAAATAAATAATTTTACTAATACTTTCTGAAATTGAGCTTAGGATTGATCTTAAGTTTCTTCCTTAGAAAAATTCAAGTGAAATCAGGTCATAATCCTCAAGCTTCTCTCTATATATTTTCTTTTTACTTTTCATTTTCTTTTCTTTCAGGATCTTTTTAATTCTTACTCTTTTATATGAGGATTACTATATCTGGATATGTCTTTAATAATTTTAAATTTTATTATCCATTTTCTAAATTTAAAAGCTTATTTTTTATCTTTAACTTAAAATATAGTATTACAAAAAAAATTTTAATAGAGTATAAATTCTTTAAGAATTATTATTCTAAAAATCCTTAATTTTTTTAAAATTCAATTTTTTCTACTATAAATAGTAAAATCATTTCCCTACTATTTTCTACTAAATATCTTAACTTTAGTTTTATCCCTTTTACTAAAGTCATTACTAAGTTTTTCTATTGCATTTCTATAATTAAATTTTTTGTAATCTTAAGATAACTCCACATAACAAAAATTATTTTTTAAAAAAAATTTAATTGTAGTTTCTTTCAGACATGTAAAGTTTAACTTTAAATTTTATTTTTTTTCCTCCCACAAACTTGAATTTTTAAATATTTTTCAATCAGCATAGATAAATATGATAGGGAGAAAAATTAAAATTTATAAATTCATAAGCAGGATTAATTGACTGCAGGAGAAAGTAAATCTAGTCTAAACATGCTTGCAATTAAGCTAAAAGAAAGTATACAAATAGTGCAAATACTAAATATAAAAATAGACATGTATAATTTTTAGGATCGCAATGTAATAGAGGGAATTACTATATAATAAATAAGGCATGAATATAAAGATAAGTGTGTTTAACACAAACAAAATTAACATTAATTTCATAAAAACAAAGATACAGGCATAGTTCACTACACGATCACAGTATCAATCTATACAAATAAGAAACTCTAAGATACCTACATAACAGAGTTCGACACCTAAACAACTACCCCAACTTACATCATCATTTTCTTCCATTTCTTCATCCATGGGTTGATGATAAGCAAAATTTAATAATGAGAGTATTCCAGAAATTCATAGTTCTTATCTCCTCCAACCCATTGAATCTTCTTAAACATTTCTAACATGGATGCATAATATTGAGCCTTAAAATTTCAATTGATCATTTTTTTTCTTGTCCAAATGTTTATCAAATTCTGCATTTTCAAACGTTTGGCAGTGCATAGAAGCCATAACCCTTTCAAGTATTTTCAAACGTTCTAAAATATGCTCTAGATCTGAAGCAGATCCATGTGAGGCTCACGATGTTGATGGTTGAGAAGAAGATGGGAGATCGGCTCTGCTTGCTCCGAATTCGATCCCAATATTCTTCTCGTAAACTTGTACATTTGTCTTTGATATTGGCTTCAAAGGATGTATTAATTCTTCCTAACTTTCTTATGTAACTCCAGACTATCCACACGTAGCAAAGATAAGGGAAGGATATCCCAATCTCGTAGAAGAATTTACTGTAGCAGTACTGATAATTAACTTATAAATGAGAGCTCTAATGTTTATCCTCTTCATGCTTTGAATACAAAAAATTTAAAATAGTCTTCTCTCTTGAAACTTCGCTTAAGTTAGTTGTAGGTAAAAGTCGGACAACTATGAAATAATGTCATGCTTTTGAAGTTGCATTGAGCTTGGAGGAGGAAAATTTTACCTTGTGGTCATTTCTGATTTTCCAAGCTCCCCGTTCGTCTGTTAGATAAGCAATTATTTCATCCATTTTTGTATCATTTGGTGTGAAAGTAGATGTGTAACAATCTTGAACATCATCCAACTGTTAAAATGCATTAATTCTTTATGGAGAAAATTTCACCTTTCTTTCGTGTACAAACACAATGTCGCCAGATAAATCAGGAAGGTTAGCATAAAATTCCCACATAATAGAAATAACTGCTACGATAATAGTGTAGCAGAATACTTCTCAATCGTGCAAAAAAATTAAACATTCTTTATTACCTCCCGGGTTAGTAAAAGCTCTATCTGCTATAAGCTTTCGAGTATGAAGCATATTGTAATACATGTCTTGAGCCTTCACACAAACAAACTCCTTTCTATCAAAAATGCTATTACCTTTGTCTTTTTGTCCCCTGGTTTTTGGCGCGATGTTCTTCAAAGATATTGAATCTTATCCCTTTATAATCCAAGATTAAAAAGCATTAAAACCGCCTAAGACACCACACAAAAGATTTATAAAGAGGGGTGAATTCCACATGAAGGAGGGGACACCCATATATAGGCACCATTTTCAGGCGTATAGGAGCCAATTATAGACGCCATGACACCAGCCAAAATTTCGGCGTTGGCACATAGGCACCAATTTTTAGTGCCACGATGCAAATTTTGAGTGCCCACGCGCTAGTGCCTAAATTTACACTATTTCGCCATAGGTCTAATTAACACGTCTCGACCTTATGTTAACCATTAAA